TCAAGATTTGTTTCTAAGTTAGCAAATTTAAGGATTAATTAACTGGATTTTGTAAATAATTACTTTTTCTTTTTAAAACAATATAAATAGTCAGCGAGTTCAGAGAACATTAGTTATAAATAAATATTTCCTTCAAGCCTTGTCTTCAGAATCGCGTGAAAATAATTAACTTTTAGCTTTTCCATATGTCTTGATTAACTGTGCATTTTACACTGTAGCCCTATATCTTGAAAAAAAGGAAGGATTTTTCTTTATATAACTGTACAAAAATTGAACAAACACCCTAAACCAAAATTAAGATGTGTACACTTTATTTCGATCACTGGGGTAGACTGTTCTAGTTCCACGTGCCATGTTTGATGGATGTCAGTTATCAGTTATCTCCTGCTAATTTTCCCTCTGCCTTAACCAGGTATTGAACTCATCTTGTTTGTCCTCAAGGACACATGGCACAGTGGATAAAGGCGTTGGTTAGATCCAGTGACAGACCCAAAGAAGGTGAGTTCAATTCCTGGTTAAGACAGTGGAGAACTTTCAGAGGGAAAATTAGCAGGAGATAACTGATAACTGACATCCATCAAACATGGCACGTGGAACTAGAACAGTCTACCCCAGTGATCGAAATAAAGGGTTCATTTCGAAATTCCAACCACCTGAAGAAGGCCGGAGCGTACAACGGCGGAAACGTTGCGACAAAGATGAGGACAATAGTCCGACTAATGTACATAATACCTCATCTCAGAAATATAGACAGGCTCTGTGTACACTTGATATTGAAAAGAGACGAGGGAATCTTCTTCCCCAACAAAAATAACTATAAGACGAATAATCGAATCTAATTTCGTTTGATTTATGAAGGAAGTGTCTTGTTGATATTATCATACTAAGGAAACAATCCTACTGTGGTTCACAGTTTGGAAATGCACTTTGCAGAATTTGTTGAAGGAAAGAATTTGGAAGCAATCGGTGTTTAAGATTTCTCGTCTTGTTTAAACTGCTGAAACTGCCAAATTATGCTCTCTCTCACAGGTTTTCTTTTATACAGTCATGATTTCCCCTGTACAAGCCCCTGTACTCGTCGTAGTGGGTTACAGAGTCATTTATTATCGGTATAATAGAATCCAAAACGAATATCACTCGGTAAGCTAACATATGTGACACACGCTTAGGCGAAAATAACTATCTCGATTCATGATTGAATAACATGAGAATTACCCACAGTAGGCTGCCTTTTCTTTCTCCAATAGACTGGTTGGCAACCAAGGCTAAAGTATCGAGTCTGTCCTGCTATTCAGCATCGACCCTGGGAAGGGGAGAAGAGGTGGATTTATATCTTTACCAAGAATATTTCTGCCTACGTGAATATAACGAAATCGACTTGAATTCGAAATCTGTTCTCGGATTTCTTATTCCGTGATGATATCCGATACACCACAGCGTACATCTCATATGCTTATATGTAATTTAAAAAGAGTGTGTTATTCCAGTCTACTAAAGAGTGAGAAAATCTGTCTGTCATACAAACCAGTAGTTTGTTATTCAACTTGATTGGAACGCTAATGTTCAGTAATACACTGTTAGGAAACTCATTCTCACGTGAAGAGCCTTCCAAGGCAGCTTTCAAAATAAAGGCTTTATAAATAGGTTCGAATTTTAGAATTATTAAACAAATACACAACTCTAGTATTGACGAAGCAGTACTTTTTTCTTATTTCTTTCGTTTTATTTCATTACCGTCAACATTTTCTACATCAGTCTATTCGACCTCTCACTTTTTCTTCTTTTTCCTTATATTTCTACCGCTTTTCTCAGTTTTTCTTCTTTTTTGTGATGTCAACGAACACACGTTTGACACTTTTGTAATGTCAACGAGTACACGTTGTCATTTTAGTAAGGCTCGTTGTGGTAGATATTTTGTAATTGCAGATACAACTTATAGTACGCCGTTGAACAATGCTGTTGTCAGACGCCTTCGAATATCACTCGCACTAATAGTACTTGCTCGATAATACTCGTTCGTAACGTAACCACCGAATAGTATTTCGTATAGAGAAATAATATAGTGAATTGAGTAGAGAATAGTGGTCAGTGTAGTATAGAGGATAGATAGAAATATTGATCCGAATTGTAATAGAGGATAGAAAAGAAATGCGATCTGAATATTAACAGAGGATAGAATAGAAATGCAGATCCGATAAGTCATAGAAGATAGAGTAGATATATCGATCGTTAGTCATCACTACTTCCTGTATATATGCGTTTCATCTATGGTCACGTGGTCTACTTAATTCAATAATGAGATCAGCTGTGTTTCCTCACTGGCGATCTATGTTCAAACTCAAGTGTCGACACCGACACTTTATTCCTATATAAAACTTTTGTTCTATTCTATTCGGCTTGTGTTCCACGTTGACTTCATACTTCTGGTCATTTTCCTAATTTTTCCTGTGTTGTTTTATTTATTATTTTTTATTATATCTCATTAGCGTTATATACTACTAGCAGCATGGCCCGGCGTTGTCCGTGTTTGATTCAAAAATCGTACGACTCCTACAACAATCGCTATCACTTGACTTAAAATATTTTTGCCCTTCCTTGCCTTTAAAGGAGTGCCCTTTGCCGTGCTGATGTTGCTACATGCCATACTTTTTGCCTATCTTACACTTCGATTTTTTTCTAAGCTCTATACTAAACATTAAATCTGTTACGAAAAAAGAACTAAACAAAATGAACACAAAACGATCAGCTTTAAGAAAGGACTCGTAACCGGAAAAACCGAATGAAAAAAGAATGTTAACAACAAATACTTTTTCATGCGTAACCCAGTTCTGCGGAATCAGAATCAACGTTCAGTTTAAACAAGCGAATGAGCCAATTGGAGTAAAGTGCCATGCAGATTTAAATTTTTCCTACTTGTGACAAATGCAGCTATCGATGTTTTTTGGATGCTAGCATGCTTGTTAACATACCTGTCAATTAGCTGTTGGCTCTTACGCTGGCCAATAGAATCTTACTGTTTATTCGTGGCAGCCAGCTATAGGCTCTCATTCTGGCCAGTAGAAAATGGCGTCAAACTACATGAAAACGGCTGTAGAAGTATGAAAAATCGATTATTTCCACTATCGATGGGAGTTGGGAAATGCAAAGTCGGTGTTGGCCTTCCCACTAACTTGGAGCATGTGCATGTAAATTTGGGTGCAAATCCGTCGAAAACTGCGGTCGTGCATTCGTTACACACACACACACACACATCCTGCCTTTTATAGATAGAGATTATTTAATAATTAATATTTTATATTATTTCTTACCTTTTCATCGTATTTTCTATGCGTTGCTTTCCGTGCATTTTTGCAAATTCTCCTTCGTTATGTGTCTTCTCGTTCTCTCATTTATTTATGAAAATGTATTTCCCTTTCTCTCCATTTTATTCCTACGTGTTACGTTTTCTTTCTTTTCTTATTTCTTTTTATATATACTTCCTTCTTTATTATTTATTCCTTTTTTCCTATTTTTTATTTCTTTTTATATATTTTTTTTCCATTTCTCTTTCTGCGTTGTTCTTTTTTCATACCCATTGTGAGCCACGTCCACATCCACATCACGTTGAAAAGTAAGATCACCAAAGTTAAGCAAGATGAAACCGGATCAGTATCTAGATAGGTAACCGCTGGTGAAATCCAGATGCTGTTAACTTCAATATGCGGGTAGTGTAGTGGATACTGGCTTGGAATGGGAGAGCTTTGTTCAAATTCCCGTTGAATTCGTAATATTCACAGACGCACAAATATCCTCTTCTTCCCCCTACATTTGGTTAATTAGTAAGGCTTGTATCACTGAATCATTATTATTACACCCACAAAAAATTCTTAGTATCCAAAAACATTTCTGATTTTAAATAACTTGTTGCAAAACCGTAAAAAAAAAACGAATGAAAAAATCTTTCTCATTGTCATTTATGGAACATTCCAATTTTTAACATTCTTTCCCTCTTTTATCCGATATTTTTCTCCATCTCTCCTCATTCACTTTCTTTCTTTCTTTCTTTCATTCTTTCTGTTTTTATTTATTTATTGTTTGCTTTTTTATTATTTTCTTTATTTTATTTTTTCTATTTGCTTTTTCCTTCTTTTTAGTATTTTCTTCATAATTTTTTTCTTTCTTTCTTTCTTTCACTTTCTTTATTTCTTATTTATTTATTAGTCTTATATATAATATTCTTATTTTTTCCTTCTTTCTGTCATTCTTTCTTCATTTTTTTTATATTTATTCGTCCTATCTATCTTCCTTTTCAACTTTCATTCATTTTACTTTCTTCCTTTCTTCTATATTTCGTTCTTTCTATTATATTTCTTTCTTTCTTTTTATACCTACCTTCATTTTTCTTTCTTTCTTTCGTTCTTTCTTTCTTTCTTTTTATACCTACATTCATTTCTTTCTTTTTTCTTATACTTAAATTGATTTTTTCTTCCTTTCTTTTTTCTTATTATACCTATCGTCTTTCTTTCTTTCTTATTTTCTTTCTTTCTTTCTTATTTTCTTTCTTTCTTATGTTCTTTCTTTCTTTCTTTCTTATTATACCTACATTCATTTCTTTCTTTTTCTTTCTTATTATAAATATCATCTTTCTTTCTTTTTTTCTTTCTTTCTTTCTTTCTTTCTTTCTTATTATACCTATCTTCTTTCTTTTTTCTTTCTTTCTTTCTTTCTTTCTTTTTATACCTATCGTCTTTCTTTCTTTCTTTCTTTCTTTCTTATTATACTTACATTCATTTCTTGCTTTTTCTTTCTTATTATACCAAACTTCATTTTGTCTTCCTTTATTCTTTTCTTATTATACCTATCGTCATTTTTCTTTCTTTCTTGCTTTCTTTCTTTCTTATTATATATACCTTTTTTTCTTTCCGCGCATTTCATACATTTGGTTTTGTCTCTCTCTCTCTCTCTCTCTCTCTCTCTCTCTCTCTCTCTCATCCTCTTCATTTCTTTCACTTTCTTATTAATTTATTTTGTTAAAGTCTTATCTAGTTTATACTTTATAAATGTAAGATTTTTCTTCATGACCATTCTTTCAAGATTCATTCCATATAATCTTCGCGGATATTTGAAACCAATTTATAAAATGCCAATAAAGAATTTTTTTTTCTTATTTAATCTTCTTTTACACCTTAACTCACTATTCGTTTGTTTTTCACATTTCGCCTCTCTTGCCCTTCCACCTTTCTCGTCTCTCACATTTTTTCTTGTCATACTTCGTAAATTATAACTTGACTCATCTCCTTCCTTCGCTATTTGGCATTTCCACGCTTGCTTAACTGCAGCGATTCGTTCGGCGTCAAAATAAATCCCGATAACTCGCTTATCATTTGCCAATTTGGGCTGATCGGTTCTACTGAACCTAGACATTCACCGCAAACTTGGCCCGGAAAACCGACTGCTTCAGGTTTCTCTTAAACAATTAGGGCGAATTGATAAAAAGAATGCCTTTCGTCTTATTGCAATCATGACTGTAAATCATGTTCCAGCTATTCACCGCATATAAGTTAACATTGATAAGATGCTTCACTTTATAACGACGAGAGTAGTCACGAGTTATAGAACGAACCAAGAAAACATTCACATAACATTCGTATGTTTTGCATTTGGTCAGATGAAGGGTAATGGTTGGGACTGACATCATTTTAGTATCCAATCTATGTGCACAGGTTATCAGATTTCATTATGCAAGGCAATGTTTTTATAATAAAACAGTATTCAAACCACCATTGTAAGTAAGAATTTTCATCATTTATGGAAGCAATATATATCGTTTTAGTTTCAGGCTATGATATCAATAGTTATTATTAAAATAGTAATCATCACTTTTTCGGAAAGTCGGGAGGCGTCAGGCTTAAGCAAACGGGATGGATTGAATACATATATAAATCCAAAAGACATAGATTGCAGAAAACGCATATAAATCCTTTTTTGGCGCTATTATAAGGAAAAGTCTTCGGAAAATTTAAATCATCACATTTCTTTTCAAAATTGGAGGTTCAGTTATCAAGAACATGCTCTGAATTGTAAAATAAAAATGCAATAAACCTAAGGCATTATTCAATTAGAAAAGCTTTTAATTTCTTTTATGAATAAACTATATTATGAATATCATGGTCTCACGGGGAAAAAAAAGGATTTTGGGTGAATAATGAATTTTTGCATTATTTCGTTTAATTTTAGTAAAATTTTAATTAGTATAAGTTATAAAATTTATTAATTTAGTTTTTAAAATTCTGCACTGATTTTTCGCGTCCTGATGATATTGATATTGAATACAAACTGTATTTATTAATCATAAATAGAGAAGCCTTCTACAATTCACTGATACCTAGTATTTTAAAAATAATTTTGAATTTTTTGTAAGTTTGTGTTTGTGTGTATAAGCGTGCCGACTTTTGCAAATACGGATGTCCATACATGCTATTATCAGATAGCAGTAACTGTAGTAGATTGAAAAGTTATTGGTAATTTTCTAACATGTTAAAAAGCGTCTTCGTAAGTAAGACTATAAGGCAAAACACCGTAAGTTTAATGACATCAGAATGCTTAAAATATTTTAATGCATTTATTAGCTTCTATTAAGAAACGGGATGCATATACCATGGTTTAAATAAATAAGATATAGGTAGCATATATATATATATATATATATATATATATATATATATATATATATATATATATATATATATATATATATATATATATATTAAGTATAAAGAGGAATTAACTATTTTCTATTGTAATAACACTCAAAAAATCATCAACCATGCATGAAATTGCTAAATTTGTTTATGGTTTTCACGCTTAACCTTAATGCAGATGTTTAATTGGTTGATCTACATGGCATGAATATTTTTTAAGATAGTTTTATAATAAATCACGATCTTCTCGTGAAAAGATATGTGTGAAGGGTGGTGTCGAACCCATTAATTTAATGCCTTTGAAATCACTCTGTGCAAGTTGACCAACAATCAGTTTTTTCCAACTCTTCCTCAGAAACAGAATCGTCGGCAATATAAAACAAAGATGCTGATAAGAAAGTTTTTTTTTATCAACAACTGATACTAAAAATATATTGCAGATTTTGGAAAAAACTTTGTCATGTATGAATATGCTCTTTAGCTTAAAGCTCCGGGGTTGTGATCTGTAGATATAATTACAGTAGATATTCTTTAGTTATTCATACACATTTCTAAGTAGCTAGACGTAAATAGACAGACGAATAGAACAGGAAATAAGAGATGAAATAATGAACACACACTAATAAACACAAACACCCTCCCCCCCATATATATATATATATATATATATATATATATATATATATATAAACTTTAAGGACAATGATCATAGGTTTTATTATTAAAATAGATGCAAAAGTATCTCGTTTGTTTAAGAATAGAATTTGAGGCGCCTAACGGCCAACACTTCCTCAGAAACAGAATCGTCGGCAATATAAAA